TTAGATACCATTTTATTTCTTCTTTTTACCTTAATTGTTTTGGCTAGGATTTCCAATACTATGCTGACTGCAAGTGACAAAAGCAGAATCCTTCTCTTGTTCCCGACCTTAAGGGAAAAGTTTTCAGACTTTTAGCATTGAGTGTGAAGATAGCTGTTGGGTTTCCATACCTGGTTTTTATTATGTTGAGGAAATTTGCTTGTATTCCTACTTTGTGGAATGTTTTTATCACAAAAGGGTGTTGAATTTTTTTCAGATGCTTTTCCTGTATCAATGGAGATGAGTGTGTTCTGCTCCACCCCCATCATTTTGTTAATGTGGTGTGTTACACTGATTTTCATATGTTGGCCCATCCCTGGATTCCAACAATCAATTCCATTTTGCTTATGGTGTGTGATCATTTTAAGAGGCTACTGAATTCGGTTTGCTAGCTTTTTAGAGAATGACAAATGTTAATGAATATTCATAAAGGATATTGATCTATAGCTTTCTTTTCTTGTATTGTCTTTGTCTGACTTTGGTCTTAGGGTAATACTAGCATCATGGAATACAAAGTGTTTCCTCTTCACTTTTTGGAAACACTTGAGAAGGAGTGGTGCTAACCATTTTTTACATATTTGATAGAATTCAACAATAAAGTCATGTGGTCCAGAGCTTTTCTTTGTTGGAAAGTTTTTATTACTGATTCTATCCTCTTGCTAGTTATAGGAATATTCAAATTCCCTATTTCTTCATGATTTAGTTTTAGTAGGTTATACTTCTAGGAATTTGTCCATTTCTATTGTTTAAGCCACCAGCCTGTGGTCCTTTGTTATAACAGCCCTAGCAAACTAATACAGTACAGGTTTTAAGGCCCTTCTAATGTTTTCCAAATTAAAAAATGTCTTTTCATTCTGTGAATTATATATTAGGAATGGATATCGTTATTTTAATTTTTTTTCCTGTGGGAAAAAAATACACAAAATTCCCCCTGCCAACATTCCCAAGTGTGCATTACAATATTGTCAACACATGCACATTGTTAGGCAACAGATTCTCAGGACTACGCTGCATCCTGCATAACTAAGACTCTACACACACTGAACAGCTCCCCGCCTCCTGGGCCCCCAGCCCGTGGCAACACCATTCTACTTTGTTTTTATGAGTTTGACTACTTTTGACACCTCATCTAAGTAGAATCATGCAATATTTGTCCTTTTGTGCCTGGCTGATTTCCCTTAGCATAATACTCTCATGGTACATGCCTATTGCAACAAATGACAGGATTCCCTTTTTTTTAAAGGCTGAATAATTACATATATATATATATATACACACACACACACATACATATATCACATTTCCTTATACTTTCATCTATCAACATACATTTAGGTTGTTTCCAACTCTTGGCTCTTGTGAATAATGCTGCAATGCATTTCCTCAAATGTTTCCTCAAATGTTATTTAATGAGATTGAAAAAAAAATAGTTTTTATATTCATTAGTTAATGTAATAAATTACCTTTCTAAATTACTAAAATTTTAATATTTGTCACTCTACAGATTCATCTTGCCTAATTATGATTTGCATTGATATAAGCTCATGAATATTTAGTAGAGTTTTTAAATAAACCTTTAGGATAGGAAGTATCTTCCTAAATACAGCTGGAAATTAATAAAGTGATTGATGTATTTAACTATGTCAGGAGAAAACTGTAGTTTTATTGTTTTCTATATTCTCTTTGCTTATGTGTTAGAATGGTGCATATTATGTGGTTTTTTGTTTATTAATTTATTGGGGTGATACTGGTTGACACAATTACACTGGTTTCATGTGCACAATTCTACAAGTCATCTGTACACTGTATTGTGTTCACCATCCCAAAATAAGTCTCTGTCCATCACCATTTCTTTCCTGTACCTTCCTCCACCTCCCCACTCTGCAATCACCACACTGTTGTCCATGTCCATGAGTTTCTTCTCTTTTTTCATTTTTGCTCAAACCCTCCATCACCCCTACCAACCCCCCCACCCAACAGGTGTCAACCTGCTCTCTTTCTGTGATTTTGTCTCTATTTTGTTAGTTCATTAGATTCCACATGAGTGAAATACATGGTACTTGTTTTTCTCTGAAGAATGATGCATATTATGATAATGAAATGAAAATTCAATAAACAATTTAAAAATATCTCCTGAGACGTTCTATATAATATGAACATTTAAGCAATATGCTGCCATCAACTTTCTCATCCGTAAAATGGGATAGGTAATGGCATCTTCTGTATGAGTTGCTGTGAAAATACTTAGAAATAATGTATATAAAATGGTTATCATCATGTACACTGGAAAGTAATGCCCCATTCATTTTTCCACCAAAATGATCATAGCCTTATCACTTTTATTCTTGAAGTGTGCCATTTTCAAGATACATTCCATTGTTGCAAAGTGAATCATTTTATAAATTCCTCTTAGAGTTTGATGATCCCTTTGGAATACAATACCTCTCTCTCTCTACATATATCTCAAATAATACTGCACGAGACTTATAATGAAAATCTACCTTCTCCACCCTTTACTCAGACTCCCAGAAACCACTTCATTTTTCTGGCTGTAACCCTATTTCTACATGAGCTACTTATGCATCTTTTTCATTTTTCAGCTTTTAATTTTTTCTCATCACTTTCTTCCCTGAAAAAAATTAGCATGTATTTCTCTTCACCTTGCCCAGTATATTTATTTAAAGAATCTGGATAAATCAAAATTTAATGTCTATTGTCTTGTCACATAAATGTTTACCATTTCATGATATAAATCTTATCCAGAGAAGTACCATGTAGGATAATATGAATACATTTTCTTCCTAATTTTTTCTTCTGACCTTTGCAATGGTAAACTTCCCTTGTGTGTTCCTCTCAATTCATCACTGGTTCATCTCTCTCCACCAGAAATATAAAGATGTTTTCAGTATATCCAGATGCATGAGACAATTTACCAGCTTCAGTTTTTCCTTGGTAACATTCCCCTTGGGTTTGAACATAGACATATGTATACATATGCACACTATCTGGAAGGGCAAAGGAGAAAAGAATGTTTATGTCAGGATAAAAGGACTGGGAGACAGGGGTGGGAGTGAGGATATTTTACTGACTTTATACCCATCTTTGAAGTATTCCTATATGTTTCTCTATGATGTAGTCCCTCTCCCCTGCAGCGATAGAATTAGATCCCTCTCTATTGATTTGGGACAGCAAGTTGTAGAGAAATTCGAATATATAATCCACTATAAAAAAGAAATTAATAACATGCACCCCAAAATTAAAATCCTAAACAAGTGCTTCTTGTTCTATTAGGATTTGTGAGGTTGTGTGAATGTGGTGAAAAAATTGAAGGAAATTTGTTACCTTTCCTGTACAGTAAAACCTGGATATAATGGAAGATATAACGGACTAATTCAGGCCTGGGTCTGTTAAAGCTGAAAGTCATTATATAATAAAGTATGTTTTCCAAATGGATGTTAAAAAATTGACAAATTAGCTTACCTCTTTTTACTTATGTAGACACGTTTGTGTAATTAAAATCAAGTATGTATGAAAAGCTTAATTTCCCAGAAAATTTTCTATATGTATTACAATAATTTTAGTTTATAATGAATAGGTCTAATAAGAGTGCATTCACTAGTCACTGAAAGTAAACAAATGCACACAGCGGAGGTGTGGCTTAGGGCAAGTGGGAACATCAGCCGGCAAGGTTAAAACTGCTGCAGACAGTCACCCCATGCAACAACAGAACCAGGTACCATAGGTGATGCACTGTGGTCACGTGCTAATCATTCGCCCAACATTGTTTATTACCGGTGACTTGAATTTAATACGTAGACTAGAGCCGTAGATATGTAATAATTTAATCATGTCAGCAAAATTTAACTAGTGTTTTTTTCCCCAACATATGGCCTATTCACTAAAATTTGTTTAAAATAGTGAATAATCAAAAAAACAAAAAAGCAAAAAAACAAAACCTGTTAATTATAAGCCAATGTTGGTTAAAAGCATTTTACAATTAACAGGGTGCTAACTGTCACATATGACATATGGACTGGAAATTTTGTCCCTTAAATCTGAAGTCCCACCCTGGCCGGTTTGGCTCAATGGATAGAGCGTCAGCCTGCGGACTCAAGGGTCCCAGGTTCTATTCCAGTCAAGGGCATGTACCTTGGTTGCGGGCACATGCCCAGTTGGGGAGTGTGCAGGAGGCAGCTGATTGATGTTTCTAACTCTCTATTCCTCTCCCTTCGTCTCTGTAAAACATCAATAAAATAAATTATTTTTTAAAAAAATCTGAAGTCCCTTAAATGGAGATTCCCAAAATCGAGGGTTTACTGTAAAGTCCAGGGATCCAGGAAAAGCCCCACCTTGGCCCGCCCCTAGAGCTTTCTTCCCACTGTTCAGCCCTCCTCACCTATTCCAGCCCCATCCCTGCCTCACCCCCACCCCTGGAATGGGTCTTGTCCACCGTCCTGCCCTTCTACTCCAGCCTCACCCTCAGGTCTGGTTCCCGCCCACAGCCTTAACCGGGAATCTGGTCCCCACCCATCACCCAGTCCTCTCCGCCTGGTACCACCAGCATCCCGGTCCCCTTCACAGCCCCACGGGCAAACTGGCCTCCACCCACGGCCACGCCCGCTGGTCCTGGTACCACCCACGGCCACGCCCCCTGGCCCCTGGTACCACCCGCGGCCACGCCCCTAACCCATGTACCACCCGCGGCCACACCCCCTGGCCCCTGGTACCACCCACGGCCACGCCCCCTGACCCCTGGTACCACCCGCGGCCACGCCCCTAACCCATGTACCACCCGCGGCCACACCCCCTGGCCCCTGATACCACCCACGGCCACGCCCTAACCCATGTACCACCCGCGGCCACGCCCCCTGAACCTGGTACCACCCGCGGCCACGCCCCCTGGTCCTGGTACCGCCCTAGGCCACGCCCCCTGGTCCCTGACCAGCCCCCACCCCTTGAACAGGTCCTCGCCCACAGCCACGCCCTCTGTGTCTGGCGTCTCCCTGAGCCTAGTTCCGACCCCAGAAACTAGTCTCTGCTCACCCACCGCCCATGGGTCACTCCCGGCTCCCGCTCGCCTGGATCACCACCTCTGCCCCGAGCCCCCAAGATTCTCGCTCTCCGCGGTGGGCAGCCCGTGACCGGAAGCCCGTGTGGAGCCGCCAGCCCGAGACCGGAAGTAGGAGCGCGGGGAGGCGCCGCGGAGGCTGCCGTGGCGGCTGGCTTCGTGGTGTGTGCTCGGTCTTCTCTGGGTGGGACGGCGTCCACGTGGTACGGTTGGCCGCAGTGCGAGGGGAGGACGCGGTGAGCTGCGGGTGGTCGGGGCGCTGCAGGGAGGGGCGTGGGCTGAGGGCACCCCGTCACGGCCCGGGGACTCGCTGTCCCGCCCGGGACCGTTGTCTGCCAGGAGCTGCTGGTACCTCCCAGCTCTGCGCGCCGCTTCCCTCCTTCCGAGCTTCCACCCACCCCACCCCCCTTCCCCCTCGCCGGGTGTGATGATGGCCCCCAGCGGACTTTCAGCCTAGTCCGGAGGCTTTGTTCGGGTTATTACAAGGGCGCGGGGCGGGGCGGGTAGGGTACCATTGGCATCTGGAGGGCGGAGGCCGGGGATGCTGCTCCACGACCTCCATGCACAACCTTCGCAACAAAGAATTATCCAGCCCCAAACGTCAGTAGGGCTGAGCTTAGGAAACCCTGCCCTAGGGCCTTACAGCCTCGGGGGCTCTGAACGAACTGTGGAAATTGTTTAAAAGTCAGCTGAGTCATGGATAGGGCCCCCAAGTGACAAGCCACGTTTAAAGTGACTGGAGTCGCCAAAAACTGCAGCCAAATGAGCTGAGCGAGCCAATTGCACACAGCATGAACCTGCTTTCCCCGCTTGGGGAGCAGCTGGCTGGATGGGACTCAGGAAAATCCAGTCACAGCCAACAATTACACGTTCATCAGTAAATTCAGAAAAGAAACGTGCATGGGATGGCTTTGCCATTCAATAACTGTATTATGCTCTGTAAAAGGCCTCAAAGGCAATCTTTGTGCTTTTTTTTTTTTTTTCTCCTCCTCAGACAAGAAAAGCACCTCTAGAGCTCAGGTTTGAGTTGAAACCAGGTTTGAGGCTCACCTTTCCTCACTGATTTAAGAGTCCTGTGTGACCAGGTGAGGGCTGTGTGGAACTTGTGACAACAGGTTCCACCTGCCTCCACTGGGCAGAGAAACTGCTACTGGGCTTTCTTGAGCTCAGATCGGAAACACACAGAGTCACTAAGAATGAGAGAATCTTTTTTTAAAATATATTTTTATTGATTTCAGAAAGGAAGGGAGAGGGAGAGAGAGATAGGAACATCAATGATGAAAGAGAATCATTGACCGGCTGCCCCCCACTGGGAATCGAACCCCCAACCCCAGCATGTGCTCCTGACAGGAATCGAACTCAGGACCCTTCAGTCCACAGGCTGAGGCTTTATCTACTGAGCCAAACCAGCCAGGGCAAGAATGAGAGAATCTTAAGAAAAATTTCTTACGTTTGATGCATTATATTCAAGGGAAAGATAGTAAGGTGTGTGTGGCTATATGTATGTAAATAATTCAATAAATACAGTTACCTGAAAATAAATACACATTAAATATGTAAATAACAAAATGTGTAAGAGTACAGAGATATGTATTTGCTCACATTATATACTAAAAATGTTGGGATTTTATATATAAGTATAAATAGATAATTTTTACATGTATATGAAGTATGACAAGTCATCCAACTAAAGACTAGCAGGAATATTTAGCAACATTCCTCAGTCCTGTTGAGTTTGATTTCTAAAGCTCTATAAATCCTCCACAAAGATTTGAGGGCATCAGGGAAACAAAAAGTTTTTAACTTTTTTATATTAGTAACAGAAATTTGAATTGACCAACAAACAAATGTATTTTGGACAAGTGGAATTTTTTCTCAATGAGATTTAAAATCATTTGGAGGAATATTAAACAACAACTTACAGACTGAAGGGTAGGGTGCCAGTTTCCAAAGACTGTCCTCCACAACTTGCCTTCTAATAGAAATTAACTTTGTTTCTTGAAACTTTTCTGAAATAACAGTCTGGTGATTCATATTGAAGAGAAGCATTTTAAGTAATTTTATATTCAATTGTTGGGCTTTAATAATTGTGTGTGTGTATGTGTGTGTGTGTGTGCCTTTTTCATTAGCTTTCCTATATCATTCTTGAGGGTAATATTTGCTTGTCATGCAACAGATCCTTTTGAGTGTGCAATTTAGGGGACCAGCCATCCTCATTTATTCGGCTATGAGGAATTTGCCAGGATATAGGAAATTTAGTGTTCAAATCAGGACAGTCATAGGCAAACCAGGATGGTTCATCATCTCCATGAGCGAGGCCCTGAGCCAGATGCAGAGGGACCCTGGAGAACCAAGCAGACCTTGTCTTGCCTCCATGGAATTTACATTCTAAACAATTAATTACATAAGTGATGTGGGAGCTTGGCACAGAGGACTCAACCTGAGGGAATAAGGAAGTCATTTTGAGAAGGCCTGATATTTAGCTTGAGCTAAAATTGGGGCTGGATTTTGCTAGTCATAGAACTAGACTAGCGTGAAGGTGTGGGAGTACATTTAAGAGAGCACTTTGGGTAGAGAGAACTGCCTGAAAACAACCCCAAACGCAGGAGAGCCTGGGGTTCTCCATAAACCGGGAAGTCAGGGGTGGCTGAAGCCAAGACAACAGCCTAGGGAAGGAGTGTGAGCCAGGCTGGACAGTTGGCAGGCAGGACCAGGTCAGGCATTACTTTGGACTCTGTTCTAAAGCCAGTGAGCAGACGCTGAAGAGGATGTGTGGTTAGCACTTGGTTTTGCATGCCGGTTAAAATGGACTTCAGGATTAAGAATGAGGACTTAAGAGGGAAGATAGAAGGTGAAAGGAAGAAGTTTAGGATTAAGATGGTTGTACCCCAGGCCTGGATAATGGCTGTGGAGGAGGAAAGAAGTAGAAAAAAAAGAGACTTTAGAGTTTAGAACTAAGAGAATATTATGATGCTTCCATTCATGCATGCATTTGTCAGGTAGCACAGAGCATTTACTATGCTCCTAGCTCCTGTCCATGCAGACCTGCAGGCATCACCCTCTCCCAGGTCCATGTTTTCACCCCACTTTGCCACTCACAGGTCCGCCCCTCCACATCCGAAAGAAAGTCAGGCCTGGGTATATGTAGGACTCCTCTGTCCACCACGGTGGCCATTAGCCACGTGCCGCCATTTCAATTAAACCAATGAAAAATACAACTAAAAACTCATTTTCTCAGTCCCAATGACCATATTTCAAGTGATCAGTAGCCACCTGTGGCTAGTGGCTGCCACACTGGACAGAGCAGAATTAAAGAACATTTCTGTCACTGACAGTTCTGTTAGGCAACACTGGTGTGAAGAGGCCCTTTCTCTGTGACCTTCCCAGCACCAGCATATCCAAGAGGAGATAGGAGTTTCTGAATCTGTAACCTGAGCAGAGTCCCCTTCTGCCCTCACGTGAACTCCAACTGCCAAAAGACCTCGAAGGGGTACTTGGGGTCTGAAAGTGTCTCAGGAAACTTGCCAGTGTCCTCTCCTCTCGGGGCTCTGTGAGCTGGGTGGATCCTTGCTGGGAGCCAGTCCATCCTTGCTGCTTGACACAGTCGCTGCAGGGAAGAAACATCTGCACAGCATATGTTTCAAGGGACCTGGTGTATATGGCATACTGTTCTTAATATGTTTGCTCACCTTCTTGGCGCTATGTGTTTTAACCAAGGTCACCTCTCCAAGAAAGGTTGTTTCCCCAGGTAGGGATTTTTCCCTAAAGTTAGGGAGGGAATAAAACCCCTTAACTAAGTGCTAGGCAGGTAGTTAATCACTTTAACTACGAACAATCATGCTTAGGCTACATAATCTTTACTCCCTGGAATGGAGATAAGAAACGCCCTAACCTTTAGAATAGAGATTGATAGGATTGGAATCAACTGGTATAAATACAGATGTAACAAGACAACAGGACACAGAACACAGACACAGAACCTAGACACAGAACCTGGTGAGAGAACATGGCAACAGAACCTGGCAACAGAACATGGCAGGAGAACCCAGATAGAACCTGGCTGGAGAACCTGGCTAGAGAACCTGGTGACAGAACTTGGCTGGAGAACCTAGACACAGAACCTGGCTGGAGAACCTAGACACAGAACTTGGCTGGAGATCCTAGACAGAACTTGGCTGGAGATCCTAACCAGAACTTGGCTAGAGATCCTGGCTAGGCTGCTGATCAACTGAACGCCGTCTCCGTGTCATTCCTTCTTCGCCTACTCCGTCCACACCTTTGGGGACCCCTGGACCTGCTGGGGTTGGACCCCAGCAAATCCTACCTCTTCTCTTTCTCCTCAGCTCAGTGACTGTGACTCTTCCTAACTACAAATTGGGTGCCTGGTGGGGAGAAAGGAGCCATCCTCCACCTGCAGCAGGTAAGGAAATTCTGCCACAGTCGTATGGGTCTGCTGGACTCACACCAAGGCTCAGGGAGGGTTTGATTGAGAGGCTGTATTAGTTTCCTATAGCTCTGTAAAATTATCATAAACTTTGTGGCTTAATGCATTGCAAATTTATTTTCCTGTGGTTCTGGAGGTCAGAAATCCTAAATGAGTTGGCTGGACTGCATTCCTTCAAGAGTCTCTGGGGAAAATCCATTCCCTTGCCTTGATCTTCATATAGAGGCTGCCTGATTCTTTCCTTGGCTTAATGCTTCTCTTTTCGTCTTCAGAGCTAGCAGTGTAGCATCTTCCAGTCTCTCTCTCTCTCTCTCTCTCTCTCTCTCTCTCTCTCTCTCTCTCTCTCTCTCTCTCACCTCTGTTTTCATCATCACATCTCTTTTGCAGATCCGGACCCTCCTGCTTCTCTTTTATAAGGACCCTTGTGATGACATTGGGCCCACCTGGCTAATTCAGGATCCTCTCCCCATCTTAAGATCTTTACCTTGATCACATCTGTAAAATTCTTTGCCTTATAAGGTAGCACATTCACAGGTTCTGCGCAGTGGACATCTTTGGAGCAGGAGTGTTAACCTGTCTATCATACAGGCCCAGGAGTCATCGACTCCCTACAACTCCTTTTCACCTGGCCCACACTCACTCTTAGTGTCTTATGTTCCCCTCTCTGTACACACTCACACCATTTATTGCTTTCATCTCTTAGTTGCAGGGAGGATACACATAGAGACCTCAAGAAGCTAGTTTTATGGAATTATATTTTATTCTGTTACTACATTCTATATATGCTGCTTGGTATTTTGATTTTTTTTTCACTTAAATTTATTGAAGATAAGAATTTATCAATACATAGAAATTGTCTTTTTCTTTTTTTGGCTGCATGTTTCTTCATGATGTGGGTATCCCATAGTTTATTGAACTGATTCCCTATTGATGGTCATTTGTGTTGTTTCCAATCCTTTGATATTACGGTATAATAAGGCCACAGTGAATACTCTCGCTGTTCTGTGCTGATCTCAGCCTATTAATAACCAATGTTGAAATAGATTCCTAGAAGTTCTAGACCAGCCCTTGTGGTTCTGATTATGATTGCCCTTCACCAATAACTATGAGGAAACTGAAAAGATACAGGTTAACGACTTACATGACCTAGAAAGTACACCTTAGCCCACACAGGAATGTCATAGATAGAGAGAGTTCATGGGCCTAGGGTTCTGCTTTTATTGGGATGTAGGGTGGGGGCCTAAGGTTCATGGGTTCACTCTTTATTGGTGAATTTAAAACATAAGAACAAGAATTTGAAGTGCAGGAAGAGGAAACAAACAGGTAGTCCAAATGGTCAGTAATTAAAATCAATCAAGATCTCTAAAATAAAGAGCCTCTGTATCGGAGGCAGCTGGCCTCTTTATGTAGTCCTGCGACTGCCAGATGTGTTTTTTAGAGACAGCTGTATTTGTACTGGATGCCTCTTTGAAACGGATGTTGTCTTGGAATCAAAGCTTAAGTCAGGCATTTGCATTACAAAAAAAGGAAAAAATGTCAGGGTTTACACTAAACTCACCCAGGTCTTTTAGTATGTGTGTTACTGTTGCAATAGATCCCTAGAAGTTCCATTGACAGTGAAAGAGTAAATGTTTTTGATTTTGCTTGACATTGACAAATTCCTGCCATAGGAGTTGTACCCCAGCAATGTATGAGAGTGCATTTCCATACAGCCTTGCCAATAAAAGAAGTGGCCCGCCATGTCTTTGTTGATCTGACTGATAAGAACTGGTATCAGTGTAGTTGCAGTCTACATCTCTGTGAATAAGATTATTGGTGGTTCTACCAGTTGGATTGGTAGTGGTAGAAACAAATGATACTGTGTTGAGGAGTGAGTGGGACATGAGGAAATGAGACAGAGTGAAAACACTGAGAGGCAGAGATGGGGCAGTAACTGGAAAGAAAACTGCTATTAGACGTATTTCATTACTAAATACTGCATTGGGTTTAATGGTGAGAGTCTAGTAGAGTGGGAGAGCTTGGAGGGAAGGGTAAACAAGAAGTCTTCAATAGTGTACAGCTCCTAAGGGCAGGTGGGATGGGACACAACAAAGCTGTAGACTCTGGCCTTGTCAAGGGGAGACAGCTCCTGGTTTCTAACAGAAGAGCGGCAGGAAACGACGTTCAGATTGTCATTTTGACATCAGGAAGGTAGCGTCCTCTCATGATGATCACTTTGAGAAGTAGGATGTGGGGCCATCTGCTGAAGGTCAGGGTATATTCCTTACCTGTTGCTGCTAAGCTTAGTCACTTAAAATAATAGTAGTCATTTCCTGTCTCACAGTTTTTGTAGTTCAGGAATTCATCTTAGGTTCAAGGTTCTGGCTCAGGGACTTCGGTGATTTCTTTTTCTTTTTTTCTGAAGAATTCTTTTTTTTTAATACTCTATTTTTTTCTTTATTGATTAATGTATTACATATGTGTCCTTATCCCCCCATTGCCCCCCAACCCCCTCTTTCATGATTTCTTAGCCAGGTATCAGCTGAAACTGCAGTCATCTGAAGGCTTGACGGGTGCTGAAGGATTCGCTTTCAAGGTGGTTCACGCACATGCTGGCCTTTGTGCTGGCTGTTGGAGAGAGGCCTCAGTTCCTCTCCAAGTATCTCTCACCACAGGACCACGTGCGTGTCCTTGCAGCATGGCTCCCCCTTGAGCAGTAGTTTTCAACCTTCTGGCCCTTTAAATACAGTTCCTCATGTTGTGACCCAACCATAAAATTATTTTCGTTGCTACTTCATAACTGTAATGTTGCTACTGTTATGAATTGTAATGTAAATATCTGATATGCAGGATGGTCTTAGGCGACCCCTGTGAAAGGGTCGTTCGACCGCCAAAGGGGTCGTGGCCCACAGGTTGAGAACCGCTGCCCTAGAGCAAGCAGTGCAAGAGACCAAGGTGGAAACTGCTGTGCCTTTTAGGACGCAGACTTAGAAGTCACCGCCACAGTATTTTATTAGTCACACAGCTCAGCCCTAGTTGAATGCAGGCGTGACTATCAGGAGGCTTGAATCATTAAGGCTATATAGGAAGCTGATTGCCATAGAGGGAAAAGGTGAGATTTAAAGAGATTAGAAAGGTTTGATTAGTAGGAAGCTCCATTGACTTACAGGATTGTCCTGCAGGGTTGAGGGCTCTTTTCATGTTGGTGATCATGTTTGTCTAAAGGTGACAATAGCTCAGTTCTCCTGCAGGCTGGTCTGCCCAAGTGCTGTCACAGAGCAGGCAGGTGATTGGAATCATGTGGTCAGAGTTCTGCCGGAGCACTGTGAAGGTGGGAGTTAGGGATAAGGAAATTTGTGGAAATGAGGGACATTGTAATTCAGGCTGGGTAAGCATGAAATGAGAGAAGGTGACCAAGGGTAGCAAGAAGGTAGGACAGTAGGTGGACTGAGTTCTTTATGTAGTAGAAGACACATGTAGTGAAAGGAAAAAATGAGTGAACAAAGTAAAAGTTGGGGAGGTTGTGTTCAGAAAGAGGGAAATTTCTGAACTATTGTTCTGGATAGTGAAGCAGTGTCAGGTGATGAGCAAGCCCAGGGTGGTGCCCATAGAAATGTGTGGCAAAGGTGGAGTAAAGCAAACTCATAACACAGTGAGTCTGAGATTATCGGAGTGAAATGGGACTGGAGCTGAAAGAATAATGGAAGTCAGGTGCCCAAGTCTCAAGTGAATAGGGTTTGAAGGTGGGAATGTGATTGTGACAACCACATGGATGAGACTAAGTGAATCTGAGAATTTAAAAGGAGGTGGAGCAGCCCCTGGCTGGTGTGGCTCAGTTGGTTGGAGAGTTGTCCCGTGCACTGGAGGGTCACGGGTTCGATTCTTGTTCAGAGCACATACCCAGGTTTTGGGTTCAATCCCTAGTCAGAACGCATATGGAAGGCAACCGATCAATGTTTCTGTCTCACATCCATGTTCCTCTCTTTCTCTCTCTCTCTGAAATAAAATTTTTTTAAAAAAATATTGCCTCGGGTGAGGATTAAAATAAGTAAATAATAAAATGGGGTGGGGCAGTAATGTACTGGTCTTACCATGGTGGACAGAAGACAAGTTTTGCCATCACACAGCCCTGGGTTTATCAACTGCTAGGCAAAATAAAGGCCCAATAGCAGACATTGCATTTTGAAGGAGAACATGATGGGCGGCTAAGATAGATTTGTCCTCAGTAACCTAGAGAAAGAGAGAAGCTATGACTTTTTCATATTATCTTATTTATTCCAGACTGCATTGTGGGAGTAAGAAGAGAAGCTTCCTGGTTTTTCCATTGCTCTGTTGTTTAGGAAAATTTACTGGCTGAATCATAGGATCTTGTCATGGTTCTATTCCCCACCTCTGGTAAGTTGTGGGGTCCCAGCAGCTCTCAGAGGCCAGGTGTTAAAGGCCCCTTTACCACCGAGGAGGTAGGGGAGGGGCTGAGCAGGTGAGGCAGGAGTGGAGCTCAGAGGTCACTGGTACCTAATTAGGTTTTGGGTATTTGGGATTTCAGTAGTTTGTGTGACTGTGGAGATGTTATCTGTGTGGTAAATGTGCAGGAGCTTTTGAATTTTATCTCTAATTCTTTTTATAAACCTGATTAAATGACAGTGATGTCCCTTGGATTTTCAAATTCTGTGAAACGTGAATAATCTCTTCCTCAAGTGCAGTACGACTCTTGAGCTCTGTTTTCTGGCCCTGGTAAGACAGGGCTCTGCTCTGGTTTTTTAATGAAAGGGTGTGTGTGTGTGTGTGTGTGTGTGTGTGTGTGTGTGTGTGTGTTTATTCACAGGTAGGAGGGGAGTTTGTGAGTGTTAGAGTATAGATACACCTGGATTCTTGTGACTTATTTATGACTCATTTCTACTTCTCCAGTTCAGTCTTCCCTGTATCCAACACCCCCTCAAAAAGGATGCACAGAGGAGGAAGGGTTTGTTAATGGCTTCCTGACAAGCTGGTTACCGGTGAGTCATATGTTTCTTTTTCCATATCATTATTTTTTGGCCAGAGTTGAACTTACTATCTTTCAATGACCTGGAGCCTCACAGCCAAACCAGATCTTCAGGCATCCAGGATCTCTGAGCATCTAATGGAGGGTGAGAGACTGCTCAAACAAAGTCAGTATATGTCAGTATTTACTACATTGCAAAGTTTCCTGCAGGGTCACTCTCTCATGTTCTGCTGATAGTTTCTAAGGGGACATTAAGGAAAGACATGACCGTTTCCTAAACTCAAGCAATTGATGGTGGCCATTAGGAAATCATTCATACGTTTACCAAATATTTCTGATTTCTGCAATGTCTCAGGCCTATGTTCAACCTTTGAGAGTGAGGGCTAAGTCCAAAAGCAAATTAGAGTAGAGCCCAGAACTCTGAGATACAAAATACACCTTCTGCTTTGAATTGCCGGTCCCCACTCTTGCCATCTTGGCCCTTTTCCTATATAACGTCAGTGGTCCTTGGCTAAGCCATAATGTTTTCGATGACTTCAGGACATGGTGACCTTCAAGGATGTGGCCGTAGAGTTTACCCAAGAAGAGTGGGCATTGCTGGAACCTTCTCAAAAAACACTGTACAAAGATGTGATGCTGGAGAACTGCAGGAACCTGGCATCGCTTGGTAAGCCTGACACCATTCCTGCATTTATTTCTTAACTCAAGCAACAAGCCTTTCCTTTTTTTTTAAATTGAGGCACCATTCATATAACATAAAATTTACTATTATAACCATTTTAAAATATACAATTCAGTGGCTTTGATGTATTCACAGTGTTGTGCAGCCATCAGCACTAATTGTCTTCACCACTAAAAGAAACTCACACCCATTAAGTGCCAATACTCATTACATTCCCCACTCCCAACTGCTGGCAAACACTAATTTGCTTTCTGTCTCTATGAATTTGCCTATTTTAGAACATTTTATATCATCGGCTCATAAAATATGTGATCTTTGTGTCTGGCTTCTTTCAGGCAGTATAATGTATAAAGGTTTGGCTGTGTTATAGTGTGTATCTCAGTTATTTATGCCTTTGTATGACTGAATAATATTTCATTTTATGGGTATACAATTTTTTGTTTACCCATTCAGTGGTTGATAAACATTTGGGTTGTTGCCACATAACAGGTTGTTATAAATAATACTGCTATGCATTTTTATATACAAGTTTTTATTTAAACCTATGTTTTCATGTCTCTTGGGTATATATCTAGGAATGGAATGCTGGGTCACATCCTATCTAATAATAGACAAACATGGTAATTAACCGTACCTTCGCTATGCCTCCCATTGGCTAATCAGCGAGATATGCAAATTAACTGCCAACAAAGATGGCGGCTAATTTGCATACATAGGCGCGAAGCGGCAGAGCAAAGACTGAAGGCGTCTCCTGCCGGAGCAGTGAAGACTGAAGGCGGCTCCCCCGGAGCGAAGGCCTGGGTGCCGGGTGCTGGAGGAAAACTGGTGCTGGCAGCCAGGAGAAGGGAAGGCCTATTGCATGAATCTTTTCGTGCAACAGGCCTGTAGTATTACTATATTTAGCTTATTAAGAAACAGCCAAACTGTTTCCCCAGCATCTGTACCAACATATGAGTTCAAATTTCTCCACATCTTCCCCAACATTTGTTTTTGTTTTTTTATGATAGCCATTCATATGGGTATGAAGTGGCATCTTGTTTTGATTTGCATTTCGTCCTGATGACCTTGAACATTTTTCCCTTTCCTTGTTAACTATTTGTATATCTTCTTTGAAGAAATGTTTATTCAGGTCCTTTTAAATTTGGTTATCTTTTTGTTCTTGGGTTGTAAAAGTTCATTATATATCTTGAATACTATACCCTTATTCAGAATATGATTTGCGGTTGGCGTTGGTGGTATAGTGGTGAGCATAGCTGCCTTCCAGAATATGATTTGCAAATAATTTCTCCCATTCTGTGGTGTCTTTCCATTTTCTTTTTTTAATTTAATTTTTTAAATTTTAGTACAGTTGATATGTAATATTATATTGGTTATATGAGTTTCAGGGTACAGTATAATGATTTGATATTTCTATACCTTACAATGTGATCACCCCACTAATTCTAGTAATAATCTGTCACCATACAAACCTATCACAATATTATTGGCTATATTCCCCTTTTTCATCCATCCTCCCAACCCTCTCCCTTCTGGCAACCATCCCTTTGGTCTGTTTCTATGAGTCTGTTTTTGTTTTGTTTGTTCCTTTGTTTTTGAGATTCCATGTATAAGTGTAACCATACAGTATTTGCCTTTCTCTGCCTGACTTATTTCATATAGCATAATACCCTCTTAGAGCAGTGATGGCGAACCTATGACACGTGTGTCAGAGGTGACACGCGAACTCATTTTTTTGGTTGATTTTTCTTTGTTAAATGACATTTAAATATCCCATCTAATAAAAGAGAAACATGGTAATTAGCGTACGGCCGCTACCCTTCCCATTGGCTAATCAGGGCGATATGCAAATTAACTGCCAGCCAAGATGGCGGCCGGCAGCCAGGCAGCTTGAAGGCTTGCTTGTTTCAGTGGCAGAGGAAACCAACGTTCCCCGCCTGCCTTGCTGGCCTCTGATCCTGCAGTTTGAAACATTGTAACCAATATAGAAGCTAAACAAAACCCCAGAAACCTGCTTTCAGCGAGCCAGGATTTCAGAGCTGGAGTTATACATTGTTTCGATTATAGAACCCAAACAAACCAGATACCTGCTTTCAGCAGCAGAGGCCTGAGAGCTGGAGCCAGAGCTAAAGCTGGCCCAGAATAAAAAGAAAAAGAAAAAAAGGAGCAGTTGGGAGCTTCAGCCCTCAGCCCCTCACCCAGACTGGCCAGGCACCCCAGTGGGGACCCCCACCCTGAAGGGGGTGTGACCAGCTGCAAACAGCCATCATCCCCTCATCCAGGCTGGCCAGGCACCCCAGTGGGGACCCCCACCCTGATCCAGGACACCCTTCAGGGCAAACCAGCCAGCCCCACCCATGCACCAGGCCTCTATCCTATATAGTAAAAGGGTAATATGCCTCCTGGCACCGGGATCAGCGGAGCCGAGAGGCCTCCCGGCACTGGGATCAGCGTGACAGGGGGCAGCGCCCAAACCCCCTGATCGCCCTGCGGCTCTGTGTGTGACAGGGGGCGGGGCCACAACCTCCCTGTCCTCCCTGCTCTGTTTGTGACAGGGGAAGGCGCCCCAACCTCCTGATCATCCCTCCTCTGTGCCTGATACGGGGGAGCTCCCCAACCCCCTGATCGCCCTGCGGCTCTGTGTGTGACAGGGTGCGGCGCCCCAGCTCCCCCCCAACCCCCACGGGTCCTGCTCTGTGTGTGACAGGGTAGAGCAGGGGTGGGCAAACTTTTTGACTCGAGGACCACAATGGGTTCTTAAACTGGACTGGAGGGCCGGAACAAAAGCATGGATGGAGTGTTTGTGTGAACTAAAATAAATTCAAAGTAAACATCATTACATAAAAGGGTACGGTCTTTTTTTTTTTAGTTTTATTCATTTCAAACGGGCCGGATCCGGCCCACGGGCCATAGTTTGCCCACAGCTGGGGTAGAGCCATAACCTCCCCATCGGCCCTGCCCTGAGTGTGACAGTGGTGGCGCCCCAACCCCCTGATTGGCCCTGCTCTGTGGGTGATAAAGGGTGGTGCCCCAACCCCGTGATCCGCCCTGCTCTGTGTGTGACAGGGGGCGGTGCCCCAACTCCCCTATCGGCCCTACTCTGTGAGAGACAGGGGGGAGCTCCTCAACCCCCTGATGGGCCCTGCTCTGTGCGTGGCAGGGGGGAGCTCCCCAACCACCCTGATGGGCCCTGCTCTGTGCGTGACGGGGGGAGCTCCCCAACCCCCTGATCCACCCTGCTCTGTGCGTGACAGGGGGCAGCGCCCCAACCCCCTGATTGGCCCTGCTCTGTGCATGACGGGGTGGCGCCGCAACCTCCCCATCGACCCTGCCTTGAGTGTGACAGGGGGCGGTGCCCCAACCCCCTATCGGCCTTACCCTGAGCGTGACTGAGGGTGGCATCGCAACCTCCTGATCCGCCCTGCTCTGTGCATGACAGGGGGCGGCGCCCCAACTCCCCAATCAGCCCTGCTCTGAGCCGGACCAGGGGCTGCACCTAGGGATTGGGCCTGCCCTCTGCCACCCAGGAGCAGGCCTAAGCCAGCAGGTCGTTATCTCCCGAGGGGTCCCAGACTGCGAGAGGGCACAGGCCAGGCTGAGGGACACCCCCCTTCCCCCCGAGTGCACAAATTTTTGTGCACCGGGCCTCTAGTATAAAATAAATATCAAAAATATAAGTCTTTGTTTTACTATGGTTGCAAATTTCAAAAAATTTCTATATGTGACACGGCACCAGAGTTAAGTTAGGGTTTTTCAAAATGCTGACACGCCGAGCTCAAAAGGTTCGCCATCACTGCTCTAGAGTCATCCATGTTGTCACAAATGGCAAGATTTTATTCTTTTTTATTGCTGCGTAATATTCCATTGTATATATGTACCTCATTTTTGTTATCCATTCTTCTGTTGATGGACACCTAGGTTGCTTCCATATATATTGTGGCTATTGTAAATAATGCTGCAATGGGCATAGGGATGCATGTATCTTTTCAAATTAGTGTTTTTGGTTTCTTTGGGTAAATACCCAGAAATGGAATTGCTGGGTTGTATGGTATATCTATTTTTAGATTTTTGAGGATTCTCCATACTATTTTCCATAGGGGCTGCATCAGTTTGCAGTCCCAGCAAGTGCACAAAAGGGTCCAGGACTTTTGTTTGTTGGAAGTATTTTTATTATTTCTTTGATCTCATTAGCTGTAACCAGTCTGCTCAGATTTTCTGTTTCTTTTGATTCAGTTTTAGAAGATTTTATGTATACTAGAGGCCCGGTGCACGAAGTTTGTGAATGGGTAGGGTCCCTAGGCCTGGCTGGTGATCAGGGCTGATTGGGGCCTTCCTTTCCCGACTGCCGGCTCTCAGCCAGGGCTTTCCTTTCCTGGCTGACAGCTGCCGTCCAGGGCCTTCCTTTGTTCCACACCATCCCCTGGTGGTCAGTGCACATCATAGCAAACGATCAAACTCCCAGTTGAACTCCCAAGGGGACACTTTGCATATTAGTCTTTTATATATAGATGGCATGATGCTTCAACCACCTGAGCCACTTGGCCAGGGCTTTAAGTTAATTTTTACATGGTTTGGAGGAAGTGTCAACTCCACTGTTTTGCAAAAGTTGCCCCAAAACTTTTGAAGAAGAGACTATTCTTTTCCTCATTACAGTTTTTTGCACCCTTGTCAAAAATTATTTGACCATAGTCATATGAGTTTTTGTACACTCAATTCTATTCCATTGATCTATATGTTTGTCCTTGTGCTAGTACCTCCTGTCTTCATTACCATTTCTTTGTAATGTAAAGTAAGTCTTTTTTTAATATATTTTATTGATTTTTTACAGAGAGGAAGAGAGAGAGATAGAGAGCTAAAAACATCGATGAGAGAGAAACATCGATCAGCTGCCTCCTGCACATCTCCTACTGGGGATGTGCCCGCAACCCAGGTACATGCCCTTGACTGGAATCGAACCTGGGACCTTTCAGTCCGCAGGCTGACGCTCT